TGAAAGGACTCCACAAGCTCTCACATCTTTCCATTAGCAGCAGGATACCCAGGGCCTCTGAAGAGAGTCACTTATTTTAAGCTCCAAGATCCATTTCCAGCTCAAGGAGCCACTGAGATCAACAAGCGCTTTGCTCTCCACTTCAGCGCAGTGCAATCCAACCAGGAGAGGGGGGACCACGAGCCTCGATCCCACAGCCTGTYCCGCTCCCTATTTGAACACCCTGGRCTCCTGCAACACACGTGGGCAGTGGCACTGAATCCTTCCCTGCAGCCCAGAAGGTACCAGGCACAAAAAGCAGCAGTTACACAAGAAAATCAAATCTGGTGAGAGCTAAAAATACATTAATTAGTCCATAAGCTACTTGCAGTTCTTAGAAGAGCCACATAAATGTCATACAATTTGAACAATTTTTGGTTGCAATCATTCTTCGAAACTGTTTTCAGTTATATCTTCCATTTCCAGAAGGAACCAGAAACTTGAATTAAATTCACATCATGAAATCACTGCAGTTTGTGTGATGATTTGAACAAAAGGGGATTTTACTCCATTTTCCCTACCCAGTAAAAGGGATGGCCTCATTGATTTTAAAAGACTGCTTCTTTGGTGTTAGTCTATTTTTACACAACAAAATTAGTAACAGCTTTCTCAGTATGAAACCACAAGCATACCAGAGGAGGCTGCAAGAGAAGTAACTTGACTAATAACATTATATAAGGAACAGAAATGGGTTTACGGCCAATATGGGAGCTTTTCTGGCYGTTTTACAGCCATCACCTTGAGAAATCCCCAGACCACAATTATAAGCAGAGCTCAGTGAGTGACTCAGAGGCCTGTGCTTCACTAAGTACATRCTCACCAGTGGAGTTTTGTTTTCTGCTGTGACCACTGCAATATTAAAGGTGGACTTCACTCCCAAGGCCTTGTTTTCTATTTAAAGAATATCTGCCATGTGACACATAAAACTATGAAATATATCCCATATGCAAAGGCAGATCAAAGTCTGTCTTTCCTTCTGCTCCCGCTTTGGTACAAGTACTCATGAACTCCTAGACAGAGGAAGCTCATCATGATTCCTACCCCAAATCCTGCCTTGGCAAAGGAGCCATCCCAGAGGAGCTGCACAGCCAGGGATGGGGAGCATCTAATACCACAGGTTTTGCTTTTATTCCTGGTTGAACATGAAAACACCCAACAGGCAGCCAAAGCTAAGGTGACAGGGCCRCTGTAGAGATCATCACAAACAGGCAAGCGGGACCTAAACCACACTTCTCTGCAGCAGAACATTGCTACTACTGAAATGCATACAGCAAAAATATTGTCATAATAAAATAAATTTTAAAAAATAATAAATTTTAATGTCCTTTAAAAAAGGACACCAACTTCCTCTCCTGTTCACCTGRTCTCCAGGAAAATAAACAAAACAAACGAATCATTTTGTCCTTTTATTATCCCCACCCCCACTTCTCACAAACAGACTATGACTCGCATTGAGATCTCAGTGCATTTCACAGCAAAAACAAGAGAATCAAAAGAGTTGTGCATAAATCCGACTTTTTTTTTTTTTTTTGCACAATTTACGGTTTGTGTTGAAAGCGAACATGGTTATTTTGACCTTCTGATGCCATCGGACAGCTGTAGCTCCTCCACAAAAAGACATCTTACCAGACCACCCGGGAGTGAGTTCTCATGACGATGGATCAGGTGCAGCCATGGCCCTGGCTGGAAAGTGGCAGATAATGTTATATACACTGATTGGAAGACTACATCAGAAGAAAAAACAGAGTAAGGCACCACTGTTGGAAAAATTAAGGTAGCTTGTAGTTACAACAATAACGAAAGCCATTAGTACTATTCTTAATTGCCAGCAATTCTTAGACTTCAATAAAATACTTATAAAAAACAAAGGATGTTTGTACCTGAATACAGTTTCCTGATATCTGATTGTGTTTTAAAATCAATACCCAGTCTTCAGCATAATCAGCTTTTTTTTTTATGGGAAGATGAAAAAGCAGAACCTACAGTCCATGTATTCACAGGTCACATTTCACTGCTTTGTTCCAAGTAACACCACAGGAGAAAAAACAGAACAATCCAAGAGACAGTTTGTAACACTGATACTTCACCTCTGAGATGTTTAGATGGGCAGAGAAATTCAAATACAAAATTGTATGKTTTTTTGTTCAGTTTGAAAGCTTTAGTCCTTGGGAAGGGAAGGTGGAGGAGGAAGAAAAGGGCCAAACCTCATTACATGATAACATGAGCAAAATCCAAGTCACTCACTCAAAGAGATTTAATAAAATTAGGAGTTGAAAAGTGTTCAAATTCCTTTTCCAATTCAAGTCAATTATTTCAAGTATATTAAAACGTTTCAGAGGAAAAATTTCTCCATGGTTACAATTCTAATCGCTTTTATAAATCCATAAAAAAGGTAGTCTCTACGTATAATCCATATCCATGTTTCTCCGACRCATGCACGCATTCTCTCTGAAGAACAAAAGTTGTCATGATCCAGTTGCTTCATAACACTGATTTCAGGCACATCTTCCAAAGGCCCCTCCAGTTTTCACCAAGGTTAATCACCGGGCACAAAAGCAGCAGGGTTTGGTTGCTGTTGTTTCCGTGGGTACTAAGTGTATTGCAGTTACCAGACAGAGCTTGTCGAAGCTTCAGGAACACGTCCCCATGTCACTCCCAAGTCAAGCAGCTCCTCTCTTAGGCAGCTTTTGCAAYCAGACCTCATTAGAAGAATGTTACTCAATTCAGATAAAATCTCTCAGATCATACAAAAAGGTTGGTGGAACGTACCTGGCAGGTTTGTCTCTACAACCTTTTTTTTTAATATATATATATATAGCTTTAAAGTGCCCTAGTATATTTATTTCTTTATGCTTGTTTAAATTTCCACAGTTACATAAAAAAGGGGACACTCAGTGTAATTACTGTGCTGGGAGAGACAGACAGAGAGAGAGAATATCAGAAACAGAAAACTCATCTCCAAGGAGCTTCTCTAGTTACTGTCCATTTGCTGAGTCTGTACGGGGGAAAGAGTTTTCCAAAGGGGTTTATGATACACCCAGCCATCTCCCTGCAATTCAAGTAAAGAGAATACAGTTTATTCCAACTATTATCTATAAACTATAGCTTATAACGTAATGCTATAATTACAGGAGGCTACCCTGGGCGTATTCCCTGCTCACAACCTGGTAGCTGTGGCAATTGGGAGCACCAAGTTTATGCCCTTACCTGCCGCAGGTTAAGATGCAGCACAGAGACTAGCGCAGAGGCTGCCCAGCCTGCCCAGCACCTGCCCAGGGCCTTGCTGAGCCGCTGCTCTCTGGGGGACCGGGCTGTGCCTGCATCCACCCAGGGCAGAGGCMCTGCCCTCCCCTGCACGAGCCACAGCAGCTCTAGGACAGCACAGCTGCTGATCCAGATGGGCTTAATCCAGAGCTGCTAATTTTCTGAATAGATCCATGGCTCAGTTTTTTTCAGATTAGTGTTATGATTTCACCCTGTCTACGTCTAGATGTTAGCAAATGCAAATACAAACATCTGAGCTAGTACCACTAACACAGCTTTAGAGAATGACAAGCTTTCCTGAGGTTAAAATACAGTCTTGGGCTGAAACAACCTTCATCTGCTTAACCCGTATTTTAAATGCTCGCAAAGATACAACGATAGGAAGGGGATGTTTCATTACCACAGTTTAACAGAGATATTCTCAAAGAACAAATCTCTGCCTCATTGCAGCATAAACGAGAGTGAGGAGCCCCCCTCTCTCCTGCAAGGGGCTCGGTAAGACTCTACATGTATGTCCTCATCCGGATCAAATGGAAAAATCTCTTTTAAAGCCTGCATTTTAAAGCCTGCACCAGCAGCCTCCAGTCTTCCCATGTAATGTACAGGTGACCTTGCTGAAAGTCTTATYGTGTTGTTATTATTGCAGTAGAGGCTGAGCCACTGAGTGCAAAAGCTTCATTCAGTCCCTAAGGTACAAGATGGAAGAGGCTCAGAGCTGGGGAGGGACTTGAGGTCCTCCTTGCTGTCTGTAACTGTGTTTTGGCTTTACGTGCACACAACAGCAGCACAGTTTAGTACTGCTGTTATTGTCCCCTGGGGTTTCCTGGTCCTGTCTACTTGCAGAACACACACATAAAGCTACTTACCATGCATCAAATGCTTACAAAAAGAAAACTGAGTCACAAAACAGGGAAACATTTTGGTAGGGGACTTGCAAAATGACTGCTTGAGGAGCAAAGGGCAAGGTTGTCCCTTTCCACACTTCCTGCGCTGCATCCCAGGGATCCTGACAGACCTAAGGCCAAATATTCTCTTCTGAGTGTAAATACTTGTATACTTACACTCAGACAAATGTCTTGTCATCCCTTCTCTCCCCTATCAGCTGCGGACTCCTTGGGAACTTACTTCTTTAAGGAAGTACTTGGTGCACCAGGGCGTTTCGGTCTCGGCGCGGAGCCTCTCCTCGCTCCTCTGCCGCTCCTCGAGGGCTCTCTTGTGCTCCGTCGCCTTGTCGATGTCTCCATCCCGCAGAGACTCTGTCACGTGTTGCCACAGCCTCCTACGGAACAAATTCCTAACTTCACTTTTCCACAGTTTTCTCASCTTGCCAGCTATGCAGGAGGACCATTGTGTGCAATTCTTTCAAAACAATAAAAACCACTAAACCTGTCCATCTTTTAATTCTTGTCTCATGTGACAATAAAAATAAAATAAAACCATACAAGACAGCCCCTGATGGGGCAATGCAGGTGGGAGGGCTCGTGGCTGAGCCTTTTGCCCCTTTGCTAGGGATCAGGAGCAGACTGACAGGGTTCTGAGGCTTGGGCCATGCCTATCTGATGTCCATTTGTGCACACCTCAAAGTTGCCACAATCCAATTGCTTCATAACACTGATTTCAGGCACATCTTCCAAAAAGTGTTCAACAAGTAGCCTTAGTGAGGACCAGCCTCACCAGGAGATGCTGCGCTGTGCAGCTAAAGGTCAAGAAAAATAAAATAAAA